CAGGATGAGTTGCTGAGGAGGCGATGTCTACTGCATACTCTACAGAGGCGGTTGAAAGTGAGGTCGATGATACCGGGTATGAGCAGGAAAGCGAGGAATCCTCAGATGATAGCGGGTGGGAGGACTTGTTGGACTGATCCGGTTGTGACGTATCGAGTATATAGGGAGGAACGAGGATGGAGGGAATTAACAGCAATATCTTGGCATCCATTCCCATCATCCCAACCAGTCATGATTAACCGAGTGGAGACAAACTGGACCAACTCGCTGCTCCAGTACACGACCATGTCGACTTGGCTACGACCGAGACATGAATGCTTTTATCGTTTCACTAGAGCTAACCCCAGCATTTAAGGCGCAATAAGATGCTTTCACATGCATAGCACACACGCCAAAAGCATCCAATCAATGTATCCTCAAGTTCGAACCTCGAGACTTGCATCGGCCATCGGTAGGTACGTCGATTGTTGAGCTAAAGGCGATTGTTATTTTTGCCATCCGATATGAATTTCTAAGCTGAATATGGATTCGAATCGCTTGAATCTGCATCGATGCGATGGCTTTCCATTCTATGAGGTCGATCAAATCATCTAATAAGCAATGTTATCATTAATCGCCTCACAGATGAGCTCAGAGAATCTGCCAGCCCTATCAGGATCTTGCATAGCCGTCTGGATCGCCAACAAGATTTGAGAAATGCCAACTCCAATTTTCTTGGAACCTGAAGTAGCTTCAATGTCGCCAATCGCACGGCGAACGTCGTCTTCTTTGAACTGCCTGGAATGTTGCATGACCGCGGCAAGCTCTTGCTGAGACTGTAGTGTCGGGACAGCGATGTGAGAGCCGAAGTGCAGTTCGAGCTGCTGCAAAATTGAGCGTTGAGAAGTAGTCGCTAGAATGAGCAGTGGGCGACCCTTCGGTGGCGGTTGCTTCATCAATGCTTTGATTGCTGAAAGTACTGATGAGGAGAAACGTGGCCCTACGGGTACCCAATCGACCAGGAGCTCAATATCGTCCAGTACCAGACAGTTCAAGGGTGACTTGTAGGCGTCCGTGAAGACCTTGCTTAGATGCTGGATCTTCTGCATCTCATTCATCCCGACCACATCCGCAGGCCGGACGAGTTTGATGAACGGAAATTCTGACCTCACAGCAATAGTAGCTGCCAGAGCAGTCTTTCCGCTTCCAGTGGGTCCGTGCAGGAGCACAGAGTGCACTCTGGTTGCTCCGCTTCTAACTTGCTCCACGTAGAGGCGTCCACTTTCCAGGATTCTGTCCACTTGTGGTCCATAGGGAATGATCTCACCTTCCACGCAGTCTGCAAGAACGTCTTCGCTGACACCAAACAGTGGCTTCACCTCCTCAAGGGCATTAAGGAAGTCCTGCATATGAATTTGCATCTCGTTGATATCATCCGAAAGTGCTGCGACTGTGCCGCCCTTGATGTGCCTCTGGAGCGCAAAACTGCTGGCCGACTTCACCAGACCACTTATTTCAGCTCCAGAGAAATTGCGCGTGAGCTTCGCCAGTTCGGCCAAGTTCACGTCGCTCGCGAGCTTGCCATTGTCTCGCATCTTCGTGGTGTGAATCTTCAGGATTTGCTGGCGACCCGGCTCATCTGGTAGACTGATTTCCATATGCACTTCCAGACGTCCAGATCGCAAAAGTGCCTCATCAATCATATCTTTTCGGTTTGTCATACCGATCAAGAGAATATTATTGAGTTGCTCCACACCATCCAGCTTGGAGAGAAGCTGATTGACCACGCTGTCTCCAACGCCAGTACCTCCACCAGCGCCTGAGCCACGCTGCTTGCACACAGCATCCAGTTCATCGAAGATGATGATGTGCAGCCCAGATTCGTCTCCTTTCTCCTTCTGCTCTTTTTCTGCGTCTGCAAAGAGCTTTCGAATGTTCTCTTCAGACTGTCCAACATATTTGTTCAGTACTTCGGGACCGTTGATGACCTTGGGCTCTCTGGCATTGAGCATCTTGCCGATTTGTCGTGCAATGAGCGTTTTTCCAGTACCCGGAGGTCCATAGAGCAGAATACCGCGTACATGCTGAATTCCAAGCTTTTCTGCAAGGCCTGGTGGGAATATCCGACTTGCGAAAGCACGTCTGAAGATGTCACTAAACTCCTTGTCGAGACCACCAATTCCCATGTCTTCAAACTTAAAATCCGGTCGGATCACCGAGTTGGCCGCAGGGCGTCTGGTCGAGCCTTTGAGCTGGATTGGAGACTTTGCATCCTTGAAGAAATTGATCACGGTCTCTTGAGTGAGGATGCCTCTTGCTTCGGGATGAGTCTGCTGCGTTTGGCCTCCGGAGGACTTCAGCGATTTCAGGTCCACAAGCTCCACCGTCCGCACTGTCAATCGGAATTTAAGACCTCGAAAGTCCATGCCGAAGCTCTGTCCTGGGGCGAAAATCTGGTTCCTGAACACGTTGTATACGCCTGCTGCCAGCTCATCCTGGTCTAAAGGTGGTGTTTGTGGTACCTTGCTCGTTGCAAACCCGATTTCAATATCCATATTGCCTAGATAGGCTTGACTTCCTTGCGTGAACGGATCGTATGGTTCTGCTTCTACGATGTCGGTCAGAGCGACCTGCATCCACGTTCTCTGAAAGTCGTTCATGCCAATTTGTCTGTGTATAAACAGTCAGCCTTCCCCAAATCCACATCGTAGGCACTGATACTGTGTTCCATGCACGAAGCTCAGCTCTCGTCAATTGCTCTGATGCGACTCACCCTCTTTGCACGTGCGGATGAGGCCGCGCAGACAGTACATACTGTCGATTGATGAGCAGGTACAGATCACCTCCGTCTCGCGGTGTCCCAAAATCCTGCGGACTGACACCGCATGCATTTGCGAAGATCAACTCTTTTGGGGAGGTGCATGGCTGGAGCTGCATTCTCCTTGCTTGGTGTTGTGGTTGCGGGGGATGCGAATCGTACTTCGGCTCTTGATCGTAAGGCGAGCGTCGCTGAGAGGGCGGAGGAGTAGGCTGATCGGGTCGGATGGGTTGTCGTTGTCCTGGTGGTGCTTCTTGTCTGCCTCCGAACAGCGCGTTGCGGTTGAACATGGTGGCTTTGTTCTCAAGATCAAGGAAGCCGCGCCTTCCAAGAGTAAGTCCAGGTGAAGAAGTACTCGATACAGGCACGCGATAGCAGCAGATGTAAGCAGAATCCTGTTGCCTACCATCTCACTTTCACATGTGCAGCCAGGTTGCCAGGAACCGGGACTAGGACTAGCCCCACGTCACGCTTATGTAAGTTGTTTTCAGCCTCAAGACAGGAGACTGGAGATTACCATTACCATTTTGCTATGCTACGCTACTGTGCATTAACAGCTGTGTCCCTCTATCACTGTGCGTTTGGTATGCATCGCAAGACGCCCTCGGCCCTGTTGTGCTCCTCTTCAGTAACAGATATAGCTGTAGAAGAAGTCGTTGAATTTCCCTCCTTGCGGACTCGCACCAAGATTGCTCTCGCCAGGTTTCACAAGGCCGGAAAGCTCGACACCTGAACAGTTGACTTTTCTGCCATCGCGTTCTTGATTAGCAACCCGCGCTTTTGACCAGCCGCACGCAAGAGACTCACTCGAAAAGCGTGCATCCCGATACCTCAGAATCTGGTCCGACTGAGCTGACTTTGCCCGCGAACTTCTCGGGAAGATTGACTATGATTCTCACGATCAGCAACCAGACACCGCTCTTCGCGTTCAAGGGCTTTCCGTACTGCAGAGTCCTGGTCCACGCTGCAGATCTTCGCACTCGCCCTTCCAATCCGCATCGGTGCAAAGGTATAGTCCAACAGTTGTAGGCGCAAGAATCTTCGTCTCTTTCCGCGTTTCCAGCGTGCTCTTTTCTGAAGCGGGCATCGCAATTGCAAAGTCGAAGAGCACAGCCAGTAGCATTGTTGGCAGCAACATGATGGCGCGCATTGTGCTGATGGCCTGGTTCTGGTATGTCTGGACTGTAAAAACGATGCTGAATGCTCGCTTGAGGTAAAGACCTGGTTGAGGTACGTGCAAACAACGCGCAGCCGCAGCGGAAGGAGATTGTTAACTTATACATCAACGCACGCGCCTCCCTCATCTTAAAATCAGACCCAAACATGCGGTTCCTTGCGTGTCCAACGCGAGTAACCGTCCGGAAGTGCTACCAAAATGACAGAGGTTTGCATGGTCTTGCCCTTGTACCACGGCAGACCACACCACATTGTTACTTCTACAGAACCATGTGGCTTTGTTCATGTGCAACGCTTCTACTGAACGAGACGTCGTACGCAAGGCTGTGTAGTGCCTTGCTGAACACTATGGGTATGCTTCGTGTTCAGTAGCGTGTTTCGAACCGATGGTCAAAGAACTGGATGACGATCTATCTTCCTTCGTGATACATAATTTTAGCTGGTCGGCACAACGCCGACTTGGTTGATACAAATCAAGAGGACCTGGCTTGACGACCGAGGGGCCATATGCAAGGCTTCGTTACGCAGCGTTGCTGTAGCGAAGCTGGCATGTCGGGGGAAAATGTCCGATCTTGAACGGCTGATTGCTGCGTTGACGCTTCAGTGCCTTGGCTTCCACGCGATCATGGACGACATCTTCTCTAGCAAACAAAATCGGCCGCCCGCCATTCAAAGAGAGCTTCCACCATCCAGGACGATATTCTGTCCAGTCATCGATTGACTCAAAGCAAGTACACGCACCTGCTCCGCCACGTCCTGTGCTTGCCTTTAGCAATTCGTCGTAACAGCAGATCAAAAGACTCACTCACCTCAACAGTTGCCAGCCTCTTGAGCTTTGTTGCGTTTCTCGCAGCTTCTCGCTTGGATTCTGGGAACTTCATTCCCCATTCGGTCAATAACAAGCCAGGTGCTACAGAATTGACTCTGATCTTGGGCGAACAGATGACAGCCAGACATTTCGACAGATGTATGCTCGCAGCTTTGGTGACAGCATACGGCAAACTTGAACCAGATGGCTTGACTCCGGCGATCGAAGCCGTGGTGACGAATGCTCCTTCGGTGGCTTCCAAGTGCTCCTTCGAGGCAGCCATAAGCCAAAGATGTGCTTTGACATTATAAAGAAAACATCTGTCCCAGTCATCGTCGTCAAGACCTTCTTCGAAGTTTAAGAAATTGGTTATTCTCGTCCAGCCGGCATTTGAGATAACGACATCCAAGCGTCCGAATGCGGAGACGGCTTCCTTCACCATTCGTTGAACGGCCTGTTTGTCGCCAACATCTGCCTTGAATGACTGAAAACGTGGCTGTTGTACATTCTGATGCTTGCTTGGGATGCCTTCCAACTCTGTGATCAAGTCTGTGGCTCGCTGTTGGTTGTTCGCATAGTTGATAGCCTTTGACGTCTCTGCTTAGCCGCTTGAGACATTTCTTGCAGCATTCTGCACTTACGATTCGAAAATCAGGGGCTAGCACACGAGCAATCTGTGCGCCTAAACCGGCAGTGCCTGCTGTTATGAGTGCCACATTCTGAGCCATTGTGTTGGACTTGGAGTCAGCGGGAACCCCGATAATGGGAAGAGAAGCGTTCTTACATTTGCTGATATGAGTATCTTGTATTGTGGACAAGAGCTTGCGGACTCACGCCGATGCTGGCCGACGGAACTGTTCCATCAACGGAAGCGGCCATCTACTATCAGCACAACGCCAAGAACTCCAGCCTCTCCACTTGTTCCCGACGGTGGAATGCCCTTGTCGTGGCTGTAGTTCTCATCGTCCTCTCGAAACGCGTCACAAACGTTACATGTACGAGTGTTCAATGATGAAGGTTGGACACTCGCAACTGATATCGGCCACATGCGCCATGGTAGAGGACCAGGAAATTACCACTATGACGTAATCGCTCACGTGCAGACGCGTACGTTCATGAACGCTTCGCCAAACGCGACAAGCTCTTGAGTCTCAACATTCTCCTGAAGCTGGACTTTCGTCACATAGCGACTCTTGCTGGATCTTTACTCATCCAAAATGCCCAAGCGCGCCGCCGGGGAGCAGTACGAGGACGATGGTGGCTTCGTAGAAGACGCGCCAAAGTCCAAGAAGAGCAAGGGAGCCAAAGCAGATGGCGGAATGCAGAAGGGCGCGGATGGGGAGGTCTACTGGGAGGTGCGCATCGATACGCCACATAAGTCCCCGAAAGACGTCTGACGGGCTGCAGATCTCTAGTAGGAAGCGTCTCACTGTGTCCGAATACAAGAAGACGACATTAATCAATATCCGAGATTACTATGAGAAGGATGGAAAGATGCTGCCAGGAAAGGTAAACGAGACACCATATTCCGAGGCTCGGGGTTACGCATATCAGTAATCCTGCTGCCTCTTACTACTTTGAATCCTTTAAAGCCGAGTTGATCAATATATACCTGCTTCTGACGCACTTGCAGGGCACGGCTTTGAGCACTGAGCAGTTGAATGCGGTCATCACACTTCTACCAGAGCTCGAAAGCGTTCTCAAGTCCAAGGGCTTCGAAGATGTCGCCAGACCAGATTATGCCAATGCTTCGAAGACATCCGTCGAGGATGGAGGTGACGAGGAAGAGGAAGAGGCTGTGGAAAGCGGCGCAGAGAAAAGTGACGGAGCCTCCGCTCTGTCGAAGAAGAGCAAGAGCAAGCTCGACAAGTTCAAGCTGAAAACCAAGAAGAATCACGAAGCTACCAGCGACGAAGACGATGATTGATAAGAAGACGACATATGGGGGCCATGCTTTCCGGCTGCTGACTTTATTAATGATGGAGACGACTGTGCTACTACGATACCCAGAGGCGTTCAGGAATTGACGACTGCTAGATGCACAAATTTTATGCCCCAAGCACTCTTTCCAACTTGCCCTAAGCATCGTCAAGTCCGCTTTTCGCTCTCTCTATGCCGACTTGGTATGCCGGTCGCTTCTAGCGCTGACAAGCGGACGGATTTTGCGCGGAAATCCGGCTCCACCGAAAAGCTGGAGTCCCACGGGGAAGACTTTGAAGTCGACCAACCGCATCGCTTGACCGAACATCTCACCATATGTGACAAGGATCAACCATGCGGACGCCAGGCACTACTTGCTGTCAATCAGTCTTTTCGTGATGAGAGCCACTTTGACCTTCGATGACCATCTCATTGAAGCGTTCTCAAAGCAGGATCATCGGTGAGGGGTGGAATGTCGCTACCGTTGTTGCCGTCACCGTCGCTACAAGAGACCTGTTCTGTGCGACATCCAAGCTCAGACCCGCGCATGGCTGCTGCTGCCACGGCGCAGACAAGCTCACCCTACAGCCAGGAACAAAAGCTTGGCCATTTTGAAGAAATAAGTACATCCAATGTGTCCAAGATCACAGCCTTCGAGCATTCATCGTGATCTCTTGACACTGCTCAAGCAATCGGAGCCGAGGATTGATCCTTCAATTGATGGTACTCCCACCGCAGGCCGTCTCACGCCTGAGACTAGTCACTAGCATGATCTCTGCATGTCGTTGTGGAGACATGCGTGCCGGTCAAGCCGCTCACGGTCGGGAGGCCTATGGTCTGCGGACATATCGCACTGCGAGCGGGCACCTGATGTAACACTCCGGCGACGTATCGACCGAAGTATGCAGGAGAATCCAGGAAACGTCTTTGATGCTTCGCTTGATCCTTCAGCCGGAACGTGTTCAGCAGATGGACGTTGCGTGGCGATTTGCGCCTATATTCCTCGAGGCTAGATGGATATGTAGGCCGTTTCCGGTCTGCTCTCCTACCTTGGTCGTGCTTTTCTGCGATTCTTAGATCTTTCTATTCCATTGACGCACGTGGCAACGATCTCTAGGAAGCAGGAATCGCATCGCCATGAGCGACAACAGCCACATGGAGCGTCTCCAGACGCTTGATCTCGAACTCGGAGCCACAGAAGCAGTAGTCCAGCACTACGCTCGTCATGTCGTCGCTACCAAGCCTGTGTCTCAACGCAAACTGAACTTCGAAAGGTCACGACCAAGATGGCTAAGAGAATGCATGGCAGAGGCGACCGGCGTATTCTTCTACGTCTTTCCTGGCATCGCAGCCGTCGCATCGATGGTCCTCAACAAAGCCAATCCAGCATATGGCAGCTTCTTCGAAGTCGGCTGGGCTTTCGCACTAGGCATTGCCTTCGCAATCATCACCTGCGCTCCAACATCCGGAGGACATTTCAACCCAGCCATCACAATCTGTTTCGCAGTCTGGCAAGGTTTTCCCTGGAAGAAGGTAGGACAGACACGTCATTATCGCCAAAACCTCCACCTCCAAACAACTCCCATTTCTCACCACTCTTTTAGGTCCCATCCTACATCTTCTCCCAAATCTTCGGAGCCTTCATAGCCGGCCTCTTCCTCATGGGATTGTACCACCAACAACTCAGCGCCTTCCAAGCCGAACTACGAGCCGCTGGAGAATCTTCCGTCCCAACAATGTCCTCAATCCTCTGCGCCTACCCCTTACCCAACCAAACCAATCTCGGCTACCTCTTCCTGATCGAATTCTTCGTAGACTCTTACATCGGAATCATAATCTGGGCCTGTTTGGATCCCGCCAACCCCTTCATAACCGGAGCTTCCGCCCCTTTCGTGATAGGTTTGGCATATGCTGCTATGGTATGGGGATTCGCACCGATCACGATTTCGACGAATTTGGCGAGGGATTTGGGGACGAGGATTGTGGCTGCGATTTTTTATGGTGGGGAGGCGTTTTCTTATCATGAGTATAGTTGGATTGCGATTTTGGTCAATGTTCCGGCTACGCTGTTTGCTACGGGGTATTATGAGTTTTTGATGAGGGATAGTTTGGCGAAGATTGGGAAGGGTGCTGCGAGGCATGAGCATGGAGAGGAGGGGTTGGGACTGCATTTGACGAAGAGCGGAATTAGTAGGGTGAGGACTGAGGGGAACTTTAAGCCTGGCAGCAGTTCTACGAGTGAGCATGAGAAGGTATAGGAGGGAATGCCGAATCCTCTACGATCATGTGAAGCGCCTGCATCCTCACAAGGCCATGTTATATTCCATCGAAATACAGCTCGGCGTTTGCCAAAGCGAACTCATTTCCATCTGAGACGGCAACTTCATGAAAGTACGTCTCAGGTTCTGGCAAGTCGAACTCATCCGCATTTTCCTCCTTATCTCCAGAATCAAGAGAACGATGCGGATGCACGGCGGTTGCTGCATTTTGTCTTGGCCGTCGACGACTCATACGCTCGTTTGGGTCTGCAACAAAAGTAGCAGCCACATCACGCAGTTGTGTCATGTCAAGCCCGGCGTAGTCAGGATCAGACGTTATTTGATCCAGGACTGTCCGACCTTGACTCAGCACTCTTTTGAGGTGCTTCGTATATTCGGGATCATTGCCTTCCTTGATGTGCGTCGAGACTTTATCCAGTCGCCCATCTCGGACCGAAAGAATGGCGTAGCGGTACTGCTCGTCACGCCGTTTCCGACGATTGACTGCCATCATGCAGAAATCGATATTCTTGACCTTGATCAGCTTGGGATGGCAGAGGCGAAGCATTTTGTCAACGACCCGATTGAGGTCCAGCTTTCCAGCCAATTTGAAGCGGAAGAAATCGTGGAATGTAATGTACTGAGCGTGAGAGCCATGCGTGGGGCATGCTGAGATACCTTCGAAGTTCGTCTTCACCTCTGCCACGAAATGGTTCTGGGCGAAGAAGATTGGGAGCGATTCCTGTCGCAATTGCTGCGAAGTTCTGCAAATGCCAGGCAAAACGAAACAGCGTAGGCGTAGTACAGAATCTTTGCTGACCACATGCTCGTATATGTAATTCCGTATCTCGGCTGGCAGATCGAAGAAACGATGGAACTGGTGTGCGGGCGTCTGGTCATGCGATGCTCTCGACCGATTGATTGTACCATTCAAATCGACTTTCACATCTCGGTGAAGCCTAGCCAGCTCCGCAGTCATGTTGACACTATGCGGAAGCGTCAGTCAGGCCTATCAAGCGGTATGGCAAGGACATACGCAACAGCGTCAGTCAAGTCCGAATGAGCAAAGATGTGAATGCTTGGTGCTAAATCATAGGCTTTACGCTTCAGAGTAGCGGAGGCACCAAGATTTCTTCGTTGACGGGTTTGCTGGCTGCCTGTCGGTAGGATTGGTGGTGGGAACAGTGCGGTGCGTGCGGCCTGCGCAATTCGCGACTGTGCCTCGCAATCTGTGCAGGCAAGAGGCTGAGATGAAAGCATCGCGATGCACTGTCAGCGACATCAGACAGAATGTGTAGCGCTGTCCGAGGTGGAAGGTGGGGAAGTGAGGTTGCTCTTGACAATGACGCACAGACGTTTTTGTCCTTGACAAGGAAAGAACGATGGACTGGAACCGATCTTCTCGACGACATCCCCGCCATCGCAGCGACGACCCTGCGATATTCCAACACTTGGTGTTTTATCATTTATCAATTCCTTCCGGGGGGGGGGGGTGTTCTGTAGTGAACGGCTGTATTCTTGCGCTTCTACACGCGCCTCTCGACCAAGCAATATTCTATATCACCGGCGAGCGTGACTTGCGGCAACTTCCGAGCTGCGCCTTGTCCCAAGACCGTGTGCGAACGACAACAATCCGCGGCCTTCCTGCGCCTTCACACAACCACCGAATCTCCCATGTGCTGAATGAATTCCCTTACTGCGCGCCAATTCATGATTCGATGGTGAAGGTGACATGTGCAACCAGCAACAGCGAACAGCGGAGCGGCATAGGCGGGAAAGGAGGTGGCCAGGGCAAGGTTCAGGGAGGCTTCGCTTTCACTTCAAATTCAGCCGTGGTGGCAGAGACGTGACGTGACACGTTGTGGTGACTACTACTCGAGATCTGCTGAGCAAGTCCTGCGACTCCATTCTGACCTGACCTGACCTGCACATTAATGATTCCACCACCAGACGTCTGCATCAAGAAGTCAAGCGACCACTGCTCGTCCGAAGCGTCTTGTGAGTATCCGGCAAATCGTATTGCCGCAAGAGCCCACCCAAACTCTCGGGCCGGAACTCGCCGACCATATCGCTCTTGAGGATTGGTCTTGACATTTCTTGCCGACAAGACACAGCCAACATCTGATGTCCGCCCATGACGAGCCACCATCGCTGACATTCTGATTCCAAGCGCGCTGAGCGCTCAACCAACTCCGCCCAGTCTTCGCAGCATTTCTGAGCAAGCCACTTAGCCATTCCACCCCGAAGCACATGCTACCCTCGGCTTAGCCTTACCTCGCATTGCCTACGACATATCCTATGCTGGTTCCGGCGAGCACAGTATCACCTAATACGCCTTTCTCGCGGGTCAGATGAGAGTTCCAGTCGTCCTCAGTCTGGTACTATGAGTGCGCCCGCAAAGCTACAACCGAGTTCGAGCGATTCCTCCTCGGATTCTACGAAAATGGCGACCCCAGACGACAAGCCGCCCGAGACCGCCGTGACGAACTTCCGCGCTTGGGTCGCGCAGGCCGTGGTAGCCTCTTTCATTGCCGGAGGTGTAGCAGGCGCTGTCTCGAGAACAGTGGTGTCTCCGCTGGAGAGACTCAAGATTTTGCTTCAGGTGCAATCCACCGGACGCACCGAGTACAAGATGAGCATACCCAAGGCTTTGGCGAAGATATGGAGGGAAGAGGGTTTCAAAGGCATGATGGCAGGGAACGGAGTCAACTGCATACGTATTGTGCCTTATAGTGCTGTGCAATTCGGCAGTTACAATCTCTATAAGCCCGTGAGTAGTGGCCGCACCACACGTTCTAAAGAAATTTTGCTGATGATGCACAGTTCTTCGAATCCGAGCCAGGCGCACCTCTCCCTCCGGAGCGACGACTAGTGTGCGGAGCTATCGCCGGTATCACGTCGGTAACCTTCACATATCCGCTGGATATCGTGCGCACGCGACTATCTATCCAGACTGCATCCTTCAAGGATCTCAGCAGAGAGGCACAGCAGAAGATGCCTGGCATGTTCGGCACGTTGACATATATGTACAAGCAAGAAGGTGGTTTCCTCGCTCTCTACCGGGGCATTGTACCTACAGTGGCTGGAGTAGCTCCGTATGTGGGCTTGAACTTCATGACATACGAGAGTGTCCGACAATACTTCACGCCAGAGGGCGAGGCCAATCCCTCGGCGATAGGAAAGCTTTGTGCGGGTGCCATATCCGGTGCCGTGGCGCAGACCATTACATACCCATTGTAAGTGCATCCAGCAACACACTCAGATCTATCATCATACTAACAGCCATTCAGCGATGTTCTTCGGCGTCGGTTCCAAGTCAACACAATGTCAGGAATGGGATACAAGTACAAATCCATCCTTGACGCGTTGAAGACCATCGTGGCCCAGGAAGGCTTCAAGGGATTGTACAAGGGTCTTGTGCCAAACCTGCTGAAGGTCGCGCCATCAATGGCATCAAGCTGGCTGAGCTTCGAGATGACGAGAGACTTCCTGATCAACATGAAGCCAGAAGCAGAGCCATCGGAAGATTCGCCGATCGGAGTAAACACATCGAAGTGAGCGCTTCAGTGAACGTTACGAGCGATAATGCTACACGATCGAAATGTGGTCCCACGAATCGGACCACGCATTGAACTTTTCACATCTGGATCTTCGGCACCAACGGCGTTCTGGAAGGCTTCATTGAATCTGGGCGGCGGAGTAAAGAAAAATACTGCATCTTGAAATTATGGGAGCGAGGCGTTGGATCACAGGTGCGGCGAACTTTTCCAAGCGTGCGAATGACACGCTTCACATGAAACGGACTGTGTTAGAAAGGAGGAACACACTTGCATAGCGCATTCCATACCACTATTTGGATGCGCCGAGAACTACTACTAGATGTATATTACCCTGCATTACCTGTGTAGTGCCAAAGCAGAAATGAAGATCTCATGACACATTTCAAGGTTGCTTCCTTTCAATTTCTCATATCCGATAGTCGTATGTGGCAGCTAATGCTGATACTCAAAAGCTACGACAGTCGAGCTGAACTTCGAACCCTAGTGCTCACGTTCGTAGCTCCACCCACCGCCACTGGTGCAATGGGATCCAAGAGAAGAATATCCTCGAAACCAAAAAGAAGCCTGAAACCTCTCTCAAAGGCAAGTCCCCATCCCCATCTCCATCCCTCCCTCAATCCAACTCGATAACCTCAGACGCCTTCTGATCCGGAACCATCCCAAACCCACCAAGCAGCCCCTTCACAGTCGCAACAACCTCCCTGGCCTCCACCTTCCTCATCGCCCTCAGCACAACCAACTTCTCCCCAAACCAATCCAACTCCTCCGCCTTCACCTCCATCCCCAGCACCTCGCCTCTCGACACCAAAACAAAATCCTCGGGATCACACATACTCCTCGTCTGATAAGAATTCCAAATCGTGGAAATCGTCGAGAACCGATTGCCTTTCATCCACAGGAAGTCTTTTTCGGAGAGTGATGACGAGGTCGGTTTTCGGTCCATGTGCAGCACTGCGATCCAGTACCTGCGAGCGGGGAGGGAGGACCAGTTGGGGAGGCGAGGGATTAGGTGGAGGACTCGAGTGTGGAATTTTTGGAAGGCGCGGAGACTTTTTCCTAGGTCGCGGGGGATGGTGGGTTTTTCGGCTTGCGCGCGGAAGAGGTCGGTAGTGCGTTGGGCGGAGGCGGGGGCTGAGGTCTTGTTGACGCCGTTGGTGGTGGTGGTGGTGGAGGCCTGGGAGGTTGGTGGTGGAGATGATGGGTGAATGGTGTTGTCGGTGGCTTCGTAGACCCATTTCGATTCGTTTAGAAAGTTCACGACGGCTTTGTCGTTGATGTGGGTGAGGTCGATAATTTCGTTGCTGCTGTGGTTGGCTTTGGACTGTGTTGGTTGCGTGGAGTCAACTGCTTGGGGTCCTGATGGATGTGTGACTTTATGCGAAGACTCATCGATAAGATCTTGTGGCTGTTGAGGAGGATGGTCTTGTTCGTCATCAGAGAGCACTTCGGCATGATCGCCAAAGGTCGTGGAGAAGAGGTTGTCGTCATCAAAAGAATCTTGCTGGGTCCCAAGCTGAGTATCATCCTCCTCTTCGCCTTCCTCGTCGACGGCTTCATGTTCATCTTGCTCCACAGGTGGATCGTTTCGCAGAAGCTCATCCTCCACGGTGCCTGAGAAGAAGGCTCCACCGTTTGCACCACCTTGTGCGTAAGAATCGAACATGGGCTCGTCCTCTGCGTCTCTACTGCCCTTGTTGAGAAGCTCGTCCTGCTCGGCGGCTGACATTTGGTTCCATGTCTCTCTCGGCGGAAGCTCATTCTGTTCAGTCTCAGGCTGCTGCCCGTCATACTCAACGAGCCCATTTGCAAAGTCGAGATGCTGCTCAGCTGTAATGCCTTGAGCTTCAGACTCTTCTTCAGTCAAACCGTTGCCATAGCCGTGCGGACCCAGAATGTCTGAGAAGTCATTTGGACCCTGACCACCGCAGCCGTACTGGTCAAGCTCATGTCCGGAGAAGCGGTCTATTTGCGGCTGTGCGAGGTTCGTTTGTTCATTGGCGTCACTCGGACGGTCTAGATTGACGAAATCCTCAAAGTTGAATGCTGCCGAGCTCTTCGCCTCATCGACGCCATTGTAGTCGGTTGTGATCTCTTCTTCAGCGTCCACGAATTCGTCGTCACTGTCTTCAGCGTCTGCGGTGGTGGAGGCGTCTTCCGTCAAGACGCGCTTGCTGGTCGACTCATGCGGATGTGGCGATTCTGCGCGGCGCTTCATCGTCGTGCTTCTCGGCGGTGTCAAAGGTACCTCGAGGTCAACAAGGTCGCTGTCGCTGAGCTCGAGCGCCATCGATGTGCGATTGGAGTATTGCAGTGTCTTTGATGGTGTTGTTGTTTGAGAAGGTGGAAGCCTGGTTGTTCAAAGTGTGCGTAAGTAGCAAAGTTGCAAAGCATCAGAAGTGTAGTGAAGATGATCTGAAGCTAACAGAAGCGATTGACCGCTCACTTTTCAGTCTCGCCGCCCGCGGATATGTCCGCCCTGAATGAAGATCACAGGTGCACGTGGTCGGCGAGCTCTAATTTCGCGGACGATGAGAGCGAGGCAGATGAGAACAACTCCTGCTGCAGCGATATAGATCTTCGCCAAGAAGTCCAAGTGCTCTTCTTTTTCTTGTTGGCGCGCTGTTGACGTAACGCGCACATACATGAAGTGCTGCTCAAGCGATGGCCGGTTGCTGGACTGGGGCACGGAGCTCCTTGAGACACCAGTCGATTCTGCCGCGGGTAGCGTGGGCTCTGGTTCTGCGATTTGCTCTTGATCTACACCCGTGAGATGCTGCCTCATCCATGTGGTGATATCGATGCTAGAGCTTGATAATTCGTCCGTTCTCGATGCGTGTCTTGGGCTGAGGCGTTTTGGAGAGGGCACTGGTGAGATAGAAGGCCAGCGCGAGAAACAGGAGAACGCGGAGGACGGTGTTGAAGTCGCATGCAGTGTCTTCGTCGTGGAGGGTCGTGCGATAGCCGTCCATTTGCGCTCGTCCTGTTGTGATTTCGTGTTCACTTTTGGCGCATGTGAAGGAAGTCGAAAGGTCTGTCAAGCTGACCGCCCGTGCTCTGTCGACCGCTTTCTGCAGCTCAGCAACGGCCCTGCAGCCAATCAGCTTCTCCATTCATTGCGATCCGCGTGAAGTGAGTGAAGCACAAAATGCTCTACTAGCAACAATAGGAAAGAGCACAATCTCACCTCACACTGTCGGCGACGTACTTGAGGCGCCCTCATTTCCTCTTCCTTCTTCTTTTCTTCCACAACATCGACATCTTGCCGCCCGCACTCTTCATCGCCCACAAACACTGATATCTCACAACACCCAACCACCATCTCACCAACGCTACTTACTACTATCATCCAACATGTCTGACGGCACCCCAAACGCGAAGTGGACCGAAGCCGACAAGGTCAGTGGTCATAATTGCGGCGGCGCATTCTTTCCAGCTCTAACATGCTTCACAGCTTGGTATCCTCTTCCAGATCATTGCTACGCAGACCGACAAGATTCCGTGGGACCGAATCGAGCTGCCAGAGAATCGCACCAAGAAGGCCGTCCAGATCATGCTTGACAAGGAGAAGGCCAAAGTGCGCGGTTCGATGGCAGCCAAGGCCAAGGCGGATGGCAACGAGGAAGAAGGTATGTGCCTGAACGACTTGTTGAGATCTGGCGCCTCACTAACTCGATTTCTTTTGCAGATGGCGGTGACGCGGTCCCAGCTACACCAACTCCTAGCAAGAGTAAGAAGCGCACTTCCAAGGCTGCCGCTCTCGAGGAAGGCGAGGGAGGCTCTGCCAAGAAGAAGTCTACACCTACGCCTCGCAAGAAGAAGGCCGCAGCAGCCAAGGTCAAGGCCGGTCAAGATCAGGAGGTCAAGTCAGACGCCAGCGCTGGAGCCGATGACGAAGTCAACGGAGAAGGAGGAGAAGCATCCAGTCAAGGCTGAGGGTGACGATGAGGAATAGAGGTGGTTGGCATACTTTGGTGGCTGCAGCTCAGCGCCGGCATTTGCTGGCTATCAGCTGGCTGGCCAGGCACTTGGAACTGTTATGACCTCTGCGAGAGTGGTCAGCAAGCTGCATTTGAAGTATATGCGATGCATACTCACACAGGCGTTTCATGATTGACTAGAGCCGCATGATCATCGCAGATCGCAGGCATTGATACCTAATGAGCGCGAGTCTGATATAAAGGCTCTCGTCACTCGTCGAGGCGAGCGGTATTTACTCATAATTCAACGACTTAGGATACGAATCTGAATCTTTCACGCCATTTCCTGACGAAGCACACGTACTTCTCCCATTTCTTCTCGTGCCCCTTCGCCCAGAGCATGTCTTGTCGTTCCAGAGGCGAAGCAGCGACACGATGCCGCAGGCCACATCAGCCGGCTATCACGAACACTACACGGCGCCCTGACGATGGACTAGCGAGTGTCGCTCCTATGCCTCAAGAACGAGGCCCAACATGTCGCGCTCACGGCACGCTCTCGTCGAGCAGGAGGCAAAGGGCGCCGCGGATTTCGAAAGTCGTCCCGCTCTCTCGACAGACCGCCAGAGACGCCACCCCCGCCACCTCCACCACCCACCTCATCGCATTCGCAGCCCAGTGCCGCGAGCGTCCACGTCCACGTCCACGTTGTGCAGATGAGTTGGCGAAGCTTCAGCAGCTCGAACAAGGATATCGATGGGACGTGGAAGCTGCCGCGGGAGCGCCTGCCTGCATTGGTGCCAAGCTTTCGGTTCACGGGAGCGGCAGTAACCTTCGGGGAGAGCAACTTCGGCCAAGACAAGTCTAGCACGTGAGAGCGAGAGATGTTGACGACTGGCGACTGGGACTTGAATGGACACTTTCCTTTTTCTCGGGTTCGACAGCGCACATGAAAAGCGCTGATGCTTAATGTTCCTTTCTTGGGCCGAACGCCTCTAGCACAAGTATCGCACTCTTTAAAGCATAATCGCATCGGCCGCAGCATCATTCCGCGCATCGGCATCGGCATCGCGTTCGATTATTTGTCCGCAGCGACAGCGACAGCGACCAGAGCCAGAGCCTCAAACGGCCTCTTCACCCACAGAGCCTTTCACGGCAGCGCATCACCATCGCTACCATCACTTTGCTGCACAGAGTCCGAGCGGTTTCAGCAGAAACTCAGATTCGCTCAGCGCGCCCACTCACTTTCGCAGAAGCATCTCAAACACTCCATCAAACCTTCCATCCTCCGCCGACTCGCGAGCTCCATAAGCTTCGTTACTATGGACCACACCTCAAACGGCACAACTCCTAAGCGGAAACAGCCGCCGACTTCAGACGACCCCATACGGCCTACGAAACAGGTACGCCGGCCATCGCCCGGACCTCATATGATGGAGAATGGGAGGCTGTCGAGGTTGGAGAATGGGGTTCCGGCTTCGGCAGCAGACACTCCAAACGGCTACACCTCGCCTCAACACCAAGACGACGACGGCAGTGTCATTCATACCGCCACACCAGATACCGTAGAGTGGCAGGCGACTATTGAAAAGGTTGTACGAAATGTCGTCAGCATACATTTCTGCCAGACTTGCTCCTTCGACACCGACTCAGCCATCAGCAGTGAGGCCACCGGATTTGTCGTCGATGCCGAGAAGGGCTACATCCTCACAAACCGTCATGTTGTTGGCGCCGGGCCATTCTGGGGCTACGCGCTGTTTGACAACCACGAGGAGACAGATGTCTACCCGGTCTACCGCGATCCCGTGCACGATTTTGGTATCCTACGATTCGATCCCAAAGCCATCAAGTACATGCCTCTTACTTCTCTCGAACTGCGTCCAGACTTGGCCAAGGTTGGCTCAGAGATTCGAGTTGTGGGTAACGATGCGGGAGAGAAGCTCAGTATCTTGTCTGGAGTTATTTCAAGGCTGGATCGCAATGCGCCCGAGTACGGCGAAGGCTATTCAGACTTCAACACCAACTACATTCAAGCAGCGGCCGCGGCATCTGGAGGTTCATCAGGCTCGCCTGTGGTCAACATTGATGGATTTGCCGTTGCGCTTCAAGCAGGCGGCAGGGCAGATGGCGCAGCTACCGATTACTTCCTTCCTCTCGACCGACCTCTTCGAGCTCTACAATGCATAAGAGATGGCATTCACGTCGCGAGAGGCACCATACAAACTCAGTGGATACTGAAGCCGTTCGACGAATGCCGAAGACTTGGTCTTACTCCTGAGTGGGAGAGCGAGGTGCGGAAACAGTTCCCGAAAGAGACAGGCATGCTTGTTGGAGAAGTCGTCCTTCCCAAGGGGCCCGCGCACGGCAGGCTCGAGGAGGGTGATGTCCTGCTCAAGGTCAATAACGAACTACTCACGCAATTCGTGCGCTTGGACGACATTCTGGACAGCAGTGTAGGCGGAAAGGTGAAGCTTCTGGTCCAGAGAGGAGGCAAAGACGTGAACGTAGAGCTTGAAGTTGGCGACCTGCATGCGATTACCCCTGATCGCTTTGTTTCCGTTGCGGGCGCGGCATTTCACGACTTATCATATCAGCAAGCGCGACTTTATGCGATCGCGATCGAGGGCGCTGGTGTGTACTGCTGCGAGGCTGCAGGTTCTTTCCGCTTCGAGGGTTCTGAGTACGGTTGGCTTATTCAGTCGATCGACAACAAACCCACTCCTAATCTGGACGTCTTTGTCGAAGTCATGAAGGGCGTTGCTGACCGGAGCAGAGTGGTGGTCACATACAAGCATCTTCGCGACATGCACACTCTGAACACAAGCATTATGCTAGTCGACCGACACTGGAGCAAGGGCATGCGTCTTGCTGTGCGCAACGACGAATCTGGATTATGGGACTTTACAGATCTGGGCGAAGCTATTCCGCCTAAGGAACCAACACCCAAGAAAGCAAATTTCATCACTATGGAAGGCGCGCGTCATCCAGCGGCGGCTGATATTATCCGTTCATTCGTTCGTGTATCAACGACATTGCCCATCAAGCTCGATGGCTTCCCGAAAGCTCGGAAGATCGGATACGGTCTGGTCATCGATGCAGAGAAGGGCTTGATTGTAGTCTCGAGGGCGATCGTGCCATACGACATGTGCGATATCTCGCTCACGTTTGCTGACTCGATCATTGCCGAAGGCAAAATTGTGTTCCTGCATCCGCTACAGAATTATGCCATCATCAAATACGATCCCAGTCTGGTGCAGGCGCCAGTCAAATCTGCGAAGTTGGCCGAGAAGGCTATCAAACAAGGAGAGGAGACCATCTTCTTCGGATTCAACCAGAATCTCCGGCCAGTGATAGCAAAGACGGCTGTAACAGACATTACTACTGTCGCCATTCCAGCAAGCGCATCCACACCACGCTACCGGGCAGTAAACCTGGATGCCATCACAGTCGACACCTCGCTGAGCAGTCAATGTGGGTCGGGGGTGCTCGTTGCTGACGATGGTACCGTTCAGGCCCTCTGGTTGACATACCTTGGCGAGCGCAATGGCCATAGTGGTAAGGACATTGAGTATCATCTTGGCTTCGCGACCCCGCCCCTTCTCCCCGTGATCGATCAGGTCAAGAAGGGCGACAAGCCGACACTCCGCATCCTCAATATGGAGACTCAAACAATTCAAATGTCGCAGGCACGTATTATGGGCATTTCTGACGGCTGGATTGAACGCGTGGAGCGTCATGATCCCGAACGTCACCAGCTTTTCATGGTAAGAAAGGTGGATGCCGGCGAGGCGAACGGTCTGATGGAGGGAGATGTCATACTCACCATCAACGACAAGCTGATCACTCGCGTGAGCGACATGGACCTGATGTACAGCAACGAGAAGCTGAACGCTGTCATCGTGAGACAAAAGCAAGAGATGTCTATCGAGGTGCCAACAGTACCAACAGGGGAGCTCGAGACTGATCATGTCATCGTCTTCTGCGGTGCTGTCCTACACCGGCCTCATCACGCTGTCCGCCAGCAAATCAGCAAGGTCCACAGCGACATCTACGTTTCGGCACGCTTTCGAGGATCGCCGGCCTACGCATATGGTCTGGCTCCAACCAATTTCATCTTGGCTGTTAATGCGGTACCGACACCAGACCTTGAGACATTTCTATCTGAGGTCAATAAAATTCCCAACAACACTTATTTCCGGTTGAAAGTGATGACCTTTGACAACGTGCCCTGGGTGGCGACCATGAAGAAGAACGAACACTATTTCCCCACAATCGAGTTTCTCAAGGATGATACTCAGCGAGAGGGATGGAAGAGGGTCATGTACGAAGGAGGAAAAAAGAAAGAAGGGGAGGCAGAAATGCTGCCAGAGATCATTGACGAGGGCGCCGTGCCTGCCGAGATGGAAGAGGCCGATGGTGGTGACGATCAGTCGAGACCTTGAGCACCTTCACCTGACGACTTCTACAAGCCCACACCGTCTGGCATTGAAGCAAGTGCCTTGCGAACAGCGGGGAGGAGTGTCTGACGGAACCCTGAATAGAGAGGTCTTGGTCCGAGATCATAATCATCACGTAAGGCCAAGCGAGCGCTAGACCCAAACAAGTGAAGTTTCCAGTGACGAAAGCCAAGATGATGCTCTTGCTATTGCCGATCACCAGGTTCTCCTTCCCAAGCCTCGAACCTGCATAAGCACAAAGGTTCCCACACCTCCACCCATACCCTCATCGTCAATCACAGGTACCGCAACAAGAGAACTTTCACGCGCACGTGGCATGCAAGCCATACCTACCCATCTGATGGTAAAAGAACAAGCCCCAGAATCCAAAGATCATCAGGACATGGGACAGAGCGAAATAGGAGGTCGCATAGCGCGTCAGAAATGAGCATGGCTGTGATCAATCAAAAGAAAGATTCCAAGTTGACAAATACCTCCCTCACCGAATGAGAAGCTTTAACAGGCATAGATATCCGTACCAGCTTGATCCTCATGCTCGTTGACTCGGGATCTTTGAGTTTTTACCAATACATGGATGCCTTGCAAAGCGTTCAAGCGAGAGCCAGCCAGGTTGTATTGTATACGGGTAAGCTTACGGGTTGGATATGCAACTGTACCGGTAGTGTGGTCTACAAGCAAGCCCGGCTTGCAATCTGGATTGAGATTGCAATCTAAGCTAAGATAATCTGGCTAATTTCTGCTTATTTAGCAATCTAAGCCAATCTAATCTAGTCCTTATCGAGGCAATCTAAGCTAATCTAATCTAACAGTTCTAGCAATCTAGATTATAAGCTACCTATATAGGCCTATATATAGTAAAAATAGTACGTATATACCCTAGGAGACCCCTAATCTAGACTACTATTAGTATCTTCGTCCTAGTCCGTCCTAGTCTGCCCTAGTCTATATTATATATCGCATATTATAAAGTAGATAATTATTCTAAGTCTATCTAGGCTTAGAGAAGTACACACTATAGAAGGCTAGGGCCTCCTACCTAGCCTATACCTATACCTACCTTTATAATAGAATCCCCTAGTTCCGAAATGTCTACGACTACGCGGACAGTAGACTTAGTATCTATATATATAATAAAAGAGATTTTAGGCTATACGCCCCTATTTCTCGTCTCGCTATTCTAATTCTTCCTTACCCGCTAATACTTAATATCCTATTTCCTCTAGCTAGGTCGTTAACGCGTAAGAGTATAAGAAGCACTACTATTCGCTAACTACGGGGTCTCTAGGATACTCGTTATTAGGTTCTCTTTACTATAGAGGGCGTATTTCTAGAAAGTAGAGGCCCTTTTTCTTATTAGTAGGATATAGACTATTAAAAGTCTCTATAGTAAGCTTTCCGAGCGCCTTACGTAGGCTCTTATTACCGCTCGGTCGTACTAATCTATAGAGCGTAGTAAGTAGTTTAAAAAGGTCGCTTTCCTCTTACTTAGGGTACTTATTATAAAGGCAGGCATAGGTATAGGCTAGGTAGGAGGCCCTAGCCTCCTATAGTATATACTTCTCTAAGTCTAGATAGACTTAGAATAATTATCTACTTTATAATATACGATATATAATAAAATAGTAGCTTCGCTTCGAGCACTAGCGTAAAAACACATACTAACTGTCTCTAAACGGACTATCTAAACTATAGTTTACTATTCCCCTCTCTAAGGCGAAAAGTCCTTTACGCCGAAGGAGAATCCTAACGAACTACTCTAATACTACTTTCCGTACTATAGAACGCCGTAGCTACGCTATAAAGAAAGAGGCTATAATTTAGTATAAAATATACGAGATCTATAGGCGAATCGGCTTAGAGATCGACGATAGACCTAGCCTAGCGCCGCGGCGCGCTTTACGCTCCCTCTATTAATACCCTTACTTGCTAGAGGTAGGAGCGTTAGTTCGGATTAGTAGGAGCTAGGTACCTAACCCTTCTAACTTCCCCCTTTTTATAGTATAAGGACGTAGGGGGTTCTAACTACTCTTACGATAGCTACTACGCCTATAACTATAGTTAATATCGAGGCGGTTTCCCGCTCCGCCTCTTAATATCTATATTATAATACTAGAGCCTATAGTATCGAAGGACTAGGAATCTCCGAACGACCCGCCGCCTATAGCCTAGGAAGATTATACTCTTCCCGAATTAAAGGAAGATAGATACTACCTAGTTTATACGATATATATACTATTAGCCTTCTTAAAACTAAGGTAGTATCTAAATAAGCTATTCGAGAAGGATCTTAGATATAGAGTTATCGCTATTACTAAGTAGTACGAGGATCCGGAGGAGGCTAAACCTCTACGTCGCCTAAGGTTATAGTCCCGCGTTCTAGATATAGATAAAAACGCGACTCCTAAGCCTTAGATACGCGCTAAGATTATTAGTTCGTAGATTAACGATAACTCCCTATCGCTTTCCGCTATCCGATAGGTATATCGTCTAACTTCGTACTAGTCGGATAGCCTATACTTCGCTTAGTAGCTAGTAGAATATCTTAAGTCTACCGACGAGAATCTAGCCGCTAGCGAGAATTAGCTACGTCGCCGCAAGGTTTATATCCCTCTATAACTAGAGAAGTAGGGCGTCTACCGCTTAATCGAGGAAGAGAACTTAGGCTAAGCTAGGCCTAATAGACGTAGGGAGTCCTTTAAAATCAACCTGCTAATAAGTAACGTTTTTAAGAATTTCGGTACCTTTCGTAAAGACGACCTACCTCCTAAGCCTCGCGAGAGCTTATTAATCTCGGTATCTAGCAGTTCGATACTTAGCTTACTACCGGATTCCTAGCTAGAAGGAGAAGATATATCGGGCAAGTAGGCTCTAGGATCTACAGTACCGGCGAATAGTATAGCCGGCGCTAAACAGCGAGATAAAATTAGATAAATAAAGTCCTAGGTAGCTTAGTAGCTAGCCGAGTAACGTACTAAGGTAGATAATAATCGAGCTACGGATCGTATACGTCTATAGAGGGCACTAGACGAATAGCGCGAGGCTTACGAGATCGAGATATAGGCCTAAATCTAACAAGCGTTTAACGAAGGCTATAAGGAGGCTATAAGAGCTAAGAACAAAAGTAGAGATAAGGGTATAGAAGCTAGTAGAGCACTACCTCCGATAGCCTTAGAATAGCACTATACTATCGATACGAATAGTATCCCTAAATTGTTCCTTACCGACGAATAGCGACGTCGAAGGAGGAATACTAAGTCTACTAGGCACTTTAACGACGAGGTTACCGCTAATAACAACGCTACTACTAATACTAATACTAGGAATAATAGGAATAACAATACCTCCGCTAGCGCTAATAACAATAATACTAGATATAATAAGCTAGAGGCATTAGTAGGAAAACTAGTAGAGGTAATATAGTCTAATAACGCCGCCTTAGCGGCCCTACGACCGAATAATAACTATTCTAGGCTACCGGGGTAGTAGCGATATAGAAATCTTTACGCGATACGTAGCCGAACTAGCTAGGGTACGACTAGAGCTAAGTAGCTAGCTAATTAGAATCGGAATGCTCGAGCTAGTATCGTACTAGAGATTAGCTCGGAACGCTACGCCTATAGAGGCCTTAGCGCTAAAGGCAATCCTAGGCCTACCTAAGATCGGGCCGGCTTTATAGACCTAAGGTTCGAGCCTACCGACGTATATACTCTACTATACGCTAGTCCTCCTTATACTCTAGTTACGGACTTTAGTTAGGAGGTCGCGCCCTATAAGTTTAAGCCTAAGTAAGTTAGGTATTTTAATAAGGACCTTCCGGAGAGTAAGGGCAAAGGCCTAGTTATATATATTAGTAATACGGCCTATTATCGAGACGTTTTTACCTTTATTACTCGCCTCGATATAGCTATTTAAGTAGGCGAGTATCTAGTAGCAACCCTACGTCTATTACTATATAGATACCTTTAGGGCTCTACCTTAGCTTAGTACCTTTACGGCCTTACTAACGATCGACGTACGCTCCTTTAAACTAGCCTAGGTATCGAGCGATAGAAGGAAGCCTTACGCGAGCAGTTCCGATTAGACCCCTTAGTCGCGGCGCGCGAATTAGAATCGGAACAATATCGTATCGAAGAAGTCGCGGCCCGAAAGAGTATAAGCGAATTCGTTATTAACGTTATACGTTTAGCGTAGCAAAGCGGTACGGAGTTACTTATAGGGTAAATTAACTATATCTTCCGGAAGATCGTACCGGAGCTATATAGCGATCTTAATACGCCTACGCTATTATAGATATATTAGACGCTTATCGATATAATATAAGCCTATTATACGATATAGGTAGAGTTTTATCCTCTAGGTAGTACTACTACCGGCTACTATAATAGTAAGTTAAACTTTCGACGTAGCGATTCGGTATAGGGTAGGTTCGTAGACCCTACGTTACGAAAACTTCTTTTCCGATCGCGACGATCCTATCGATCCTAGCGATCGCGAGCGATCCCGAGCGATCCTAAGCGATCCCGAGCGATCCTAGAACGATAAATAGGTAACTTATAAAAGTTAGACTTTTACCTAATACTATACTAAAAATAAAACATTTTTGTCATATATTACTAAGCCGTAAACCTTCTAGATAAAAAGATATAAAGGAAAGAAAATCGCTTTTTTAGACATTTTGCTTCTAATTTATCTTTTTTTCTACTAGGGTTATAGCTTAGTAATATAGTAGAAAGGTACTCTATTTTTAGTATATTATTATAAAAAAATATAAAATTTATAGATTTTCTACGAAACTAAAGCTAGGGAAGAGAAATAAGCAATATAGTATTTTAGCTTTTCTAAGTTATACTTTACTATTTTTAGAAATCTAAAAAATAGAACTTAAAGTTCTATATACTTATAAGAGTATTATAAATTTTTAAGTTATAATACCTAGTAGTTATCTTAGAATCTAGAAAAGAATCTCGAGTGTTTCGAGTGTACTT